CATAATAGGGTGGATCTGAAGATAATACAGCTGGGATAATGGGTCAAGGGAAGAAGGAACATGCAGCCGAGCCTGGTAAGGGATTTAGCAAGTGAAAGACATAGAAGGTAGAAATTCAGGCAGGTATAGGCTTAAGTATCAATACAGACCCCAATTTGCACAGTAACACGCAAGTGCCTTCCTGCCCTCAAGAACCGGAACTACATTGGCCGTACGAGCTCCGAGAAGGTTGGGAATTGCAGATCTAGTGTTGGTAGTAATAATTGGATAATACATTGGCCAGATCCTACAACCCAGTGAGCTTTTCCTTTACTTGTGCAGATCCGACAGGTTAACCAAATTGACTACTTGGTCGGTTACACCCTAGGGGCTCTCAACTCTCAAGATCCCGTCATACGAGGCGGCAAGTACAGCGTAAAGGAAAACGCAAAGGCAAGGGAACACACCCGGAAGGCAACCCTACGGCCAGATCCACGATCTAGGCTTCGGATCCATAAGCTCTAATATTCGCTTAGGATTCGGAACTATCTACGGACGCAGAGTGAAGATTTTCCACTACTGCTCCACCCCATCCCCACGTCTCGCCAAGACACTCAAGCTTCACCACTTGAACTCTTCGGAAGTTACCGAGAGAGCAAGATCCCGCCCTACTGACGGGTACACAAGGTGAGGAAAGTTCAGCAGAACACGGATCATCGGGGGACCCCCTCCGTTAGTCGGTGTCTGGGCACAGTTGGTAAGTTGGATCTGGCAATCTCGCAGATTTTGCTGAGCCCGCTACACCACAATAGTGCGCGTGCCCGGATCTTTTGGTGACTCGGGATTTCACCGTGAGTCCCAAGAAGATGCTCAAGTGAAGATTGAGCCAGGGGAAGAGGCGTCGTCGGAGGTCGGATCGACGAGGACGCTGCTGAATGAAACAAGATTCGCGGATCGATGGAGTTTTGGGAGGAATTCTGTCGACGGAAGAGAGGTGGATCCGGATCGGGATCTAGGAGAGAACCCTCTCTATCCTCCCCAGGTCCCCTCGGGGACCCCTGCGGGTCTTGACTTGCGTCAAGATCCGCTAACAAAACAAGGGAAAGTGAAGGCGAAACGGTATGCATTTGCAGATGCTCCGGTTAAGCCAACACCGTACCTAAACCCAAGCCCGCTAGTCGAAGAAACAAGAAAGAAAACGAAAACGAGTAAGACTACGCGGAAGAAGATGCAAGCTCCAGAGTCGGAAGAAGACCAAGCTGGATCCAGGTCAAGCTGGTCCGACAAGGATCTCGAGTTTGTGTATCGCCACCAAGCTTTACGCGACTTCCTGCATCAAGATCATGTCATGCAGATCCTGAATCCACGACAGATCGACGATCCAAGGGAACCGGTGAGAGCACCAACGAAAACGGCGAACAAGCTGGTGGCAGTCAAGGATCTATTACGTTTGCTTACGGAGTCAGGCATCGTAGCTGGTGTGTTCGACGCAGAGGATATCTTCGAGCTAGACCTGGATCTCATAGTATCCGCGACGCGGGACCTCTTTGCCAGAGCTAAGTCCATCACCGGAGAAAGGTCGCGCACTATGGATCCAGTGTCGTCGCCGAGGATCAGCCAAGCCGCGTCCTCGAACTACGAATCCACCGCTGAGGATGAGTCAGACACGTCGTCCGAGCCCCGACGAATGCCTATAGGACCCTCCGGGGCATCCATGCTGGAAGCGCGGGCGAGGATCCGGGGACAGGAAGTCCCTGTGAACGTGAATGCTCGGGATCCAGTACGCCCCACGCGTGATCTGACACAATCCAGCCACGATCGAGCCAGATCCGACAAGAAGCCAGTGGGATTATCGTCAGATCGGGCTCAAGGTAATCGCCTCACGGATCCGGTCTCGACGGTGGACCAGACGGCCACAGGCTCTTCCGACACTTCCTCGGGCACCCTGCAACGAACGACACTTCGAAGCTGCGATGAGTCGTTTCCTGGTCGAACAGGGTACGAGAGCGCCCGTGCCACAAGCGCAAGTGCTCCACGAACATGGAGCACGAGACGTGGACTTCACCAAGTACTGGGTACGACCCTGGCGTCTACGCCACGCCACAAGGCGTTCCACGTGAGAGTGGAGCTCACCATGCTCATCGAGCAGAGCAGGAGGAGGCCTTGCCTCAGCTGGGCTCTCGCGGGGAGAGTCAGCACTTGCCGGAACGGCGTCTGCGTCCATACGACGCCGGCGTCCACGACGCGAACGTTCACGTTCACCGCCCATCGGTCGATCTCGAAGAGATGATCCACCTTGTAGATAGGTTAGAGCCACCACTGTTGACTCACAACCAGGTCTAGGACCTTGAGCGTTCAGTCGCTCGGCTGAACGCTCAACTTGCCTTGCTCCTGCATCTCGAGCACTTCGCTCCGCGACCTGTGGCTCTGCCACATGCTGTTGATCAGCCATCTGTGGATCCACCACTTGCTGTCGTTCAGCCTCCCGTGGCTCTACCACCTGCTGCCCTGCAGCTGTCCGTGGCCCAGCCACCGTTGGTGCCAACGCCTCCGCACTCACCTGAGCAGGGTCTTGGTATGGCTTAAGCAAGCCAACATAGAAGACCGGATGCGTGCGTATCTTCTTCGGAAGGTTGAGCGTATACGCTAGGCCCTTCCTGGCCACGACCTTGAACGGTCCTATGAACCGAGGTCTTAAGTTCGTCTTGAAGACTGCAGACACTGCATGAGGA